AAATTTTTATTAGATACTCTTTTACAACTTGATGGTTCTGCAATAAGCCATAGTGGTGTATCAGAGGCTGCAAATAATTCTGAAGATCTTTCAGGACTAACAGAAGAGGAAGAAGATTTATTGGACTCTTATGGGGCATAATACTTATTTCGAAATTTTAAATGTTTTTATTGAATTGTTTTGATAATATAGTAGAATAATTTTAAATTATTAAAATTTTTAATTAAAACCATAGAATTACGTAATACAAGAATCAAAATTTTAGAAGAGTTTGGAATAGGTTTTATACGTATGTGTAAAATGGTTTTAACACATGAAAAAAACAAATTCAACTTTAACTACAGTATATAGTATTAATATAATCATGAAATATATAAAGCAAATAAAAATACAGTAAATTTGTTTGAGATTTTAATAATATATGTCACGGCTGATGCTGAATATCACGTGAGAATTCGGGCCGATCGCATGTCGATCATGAAAATTCAAAACAAACGCCTCTTTGTCAAAAATCGTTGATTTCTCAAAAATCTTCATAAAAAAACAACACTTTGTATACTAACAAAAAGTATTCCTTGAGCGATTTTACTGTATAACCTTCTAAACTCTAACGTTAATATAGACGATAACCCTAACACAAACAAACTTGAAGGACTTTGTCGTTGGTTAGGACATGCGATCTGCAATTTCCGGCCCGAATTTTCACGTGATATTCAACATCAGCCAAATTCAGCATCAGCCGTCACAATATATACAGTCAACCCTCACTATACAATAATATATGCGGTGAGATTAAGTAAAACTTTTTAATTTTTAAATTTCCCAATTTTATATAACAAAAATGCAAATCTTTATTTGGATTAGTTAATTAAAAATGTATATATACTATTAATAAAAAATTTTTTACAATATAAATAATACTTATTCTAAATCAATTAATACATATATTTTATTAAATGTTATCTATACTACAAAAGATCTCTAGTAAACTTTTTTACATATCAAAATTTGTATCCAATATTTCTGTATCAGATTCATCTAAAAGTGAAATAGTTGGAGAAACTATTACAGTAACTTTTATCTTAGAATTAACGAAAGTATCAGAACTGATAAAAGCATTAGAAGTAGAAGTAACAGGAGTGTCAGAAGTAGTGGAAGTAACTGAGGCAGCAGAAATATCGGGAACAGCAGGAATAGTAGAAATGGGAAAAACAGAAGCGACAGAAGTAGCGGGAGTAACTGAAGTAGCGGGGGTAACTGAAGCGACTGAAGTAGCGGGAGTAACTGAAGTAACTGAAGCGACTGAAGTAGCGGGAGTAACTGAAGTGATTGAAGTAGCGGGAGTAACTGAAGTGACTGAAGTAGCGGGGATAACTGAAGTGATTGAAGTAGCGGGGATAACTGAAGTGATTGAAGTAGCGGTGTTAACGGAAGCAGTGGGGTTAACGGAAGCAGCGGGGGTAACGGAAGCGACGGGGGTAACGGAAGCGACGGGGGTAACGGAAGTAGCAGAGGTGGTAGAGATGGTAGAAACATTCGACTTTTGGGACGTATTCTGTGCGAAAGCATTATGAATCACTTTATTGTCACGAATTACCGATCCATAATCATTGGCCTTGAACTTTTTGTTGCTTGAAGATGGTAATGGCGGTAATGCCATTGATCGTTTGGCCATTTGTTTCCTTGGACTAGTCTCACATACATCCTGCTTTAAAGCCTCGTCAACTAACGATTTCCGATCAGGATATGGTAATGGAATAGTAACAGACATGCTACGGATGATGCCTGGATGCAGTTTGTAGTACCGCCCAGCAATTTCGGATAAATCCAAAGTATATTCGAATTTTTCTTTATTCATTCGAATTAAAGTTGGCACATTCTCGCCATTCTTTGGTGGACCTCTGATAAACATCTCACCACTTAGTTGAATTTTATTTAGAGCATTTAAAAAAATTGTATTTATTTTAAAAATTGGTAATTTGTCACTAGAAT